CTTCACTCATACGCTCCATCATCTGTTTCTTAGACCTCAGGACTTGTTGAGGACTGCCTGTCTTCAGGCAGTCTTCAACATAATCCTCAACATCCTCCAGAAGACTCAAACTCATTTCTGCTGATTTCATTTGCTCTGACAGCACCTTTAGTTTAGCATCAGTGACCCTTTTTGCCTGCTCAGTCAGTTTCTTCTCTGACTGACGAAGAACACCAATCATTTCCTCTACCATTTTATGTATTTCTTCTAAGACTCCTTCTCCTCTCTCTCTGATCTCACCCTCTCTCTCTGCTAGAGCAGACAGGACCTTCTTGAGTGCTTCCTTTTTTCCCTCAACTGGTGATAGACTTTCTCTTAAATATTGACAGTGTTTAGTATAACTGTCAGTGATTAAGTCGTATTCATGATGTTTGTGATTACGAACTGAGCAGGTAACACAGATTACTGTATCACATGTTTCACAAAATAACTCCAAAGGCTTTCCATGATCACTACATGTGGCCTCTTGAGGATTTGATGGATCTGCTTTCTTCTTTGTTAGACTGTACATCTCTTTGAGGTCATTGAGGAGGAATGCTACAGGAAAGGCTCCTGCTCCTTCTTCTGGTACCTCTGTACGATGACGACAAGTGGGACAAGAGAGGTAATGGATTTCATTCTCCTTTTCTAGAGGTAATCCCTCCAGACAGTGCTGACAGAATGAGTGATGGCAGGGTAGGATCTTAGGGTTGGTATAGCGGTCAAGACACACAGGACAGGTGAGTCGCTCCTTCAGTTTAAGTCTGAGACCGGGAGATGGTTTGGTTGCCATTTCAAGAAATGTGTACGTAAAGCAAAAACGAAAAATGAAGAGAGATAAAGGTAGAAGATGGTAAATGAGGATAAAGCAAAAATGAACAAAAAGAAAATGAAGAAGTCGGAATGAACAAGAATGTAGAACAAAGTAGAACAATAGAAGAAAGAAAGACAGCCCTAATGACCTCTTGGAGTATAGCTAGAATTTTGTGACTGAAGGAAGTTATGATAGCTACAATAATAGTTATGGTAGCAACCTAACCTTTACTAAAGGCATGTACAGTATAAATGCACAGTAAGTACATATACATGTCCTTATGCTGTGAAAATTTTGAGGTAATTCCGACAATTTTTTAAGCTATGAGCATTTTTTTGAAATGTCAAATTTGTGAAAAATACTTAAGGCCCATGTTCTTTCCAAAAAATTGCTTCAAAATCGCCCCAAAATTTTATTACAATTTCTGATACACATCAATGTACATGTACTTAATGCTGTATAGAAAGTTTGAGCTGATTCTGATAAATATTTTTCGAGATACCGGTATTACAATTTTTTCCACAAGTCTTACCTCTTAAATATATCCAGTACAGCTGCAGTTTTCATAGCACTCAGTCCTGTCTTTATCTCTTTCACTTCATCTTCACTCATCAACTGATCATCAGTTCTTAATACTGGAGGAACATCACCTGTGGAGAGTTTCCTCTCTGCCTATACTGATAAATTACTATTATAACTATTATTATTATTATTATTATTAATATCATTGTACTGGGCACATTGCATAATTGGAGTAATACTACATTTTATTAGTACATTAGCTGATCAGTCGGTATTATAAAATCTAACTTGCTTTTATATTTTACTAATAGATTTAATTATAAAAAAATATTAGAATATAAAAAACAACAATCTTCATTATTTTTAATAAACAACAAGACGATCATTACCAAAATCACAAACATACAAGAATCCATCTTTATTAAATGCTAATCCATAAGGATCATTAAACTCATCAACATTACTGCCTAATCTTCCAAACATACTAACAAACACACCATCACTAGTGAAGACTGATATACGATAATTGCCCCCTTCACTAACATACACTAGACCAGTAGCTGCAGTGTCTATTGTTATACCTACTGGATAACTAAGCTGTCCAGGACCAGATCCTTCAGTACCAAACTGACCCACAAACTTTCCATCTGGAGAGAACTTCTGAATGCGATTATTACACTGATCAGCAACATACACTAATCCTTGACTGTCAATAGCGATGTCAGTTGGAGACTGAAACTGTCCATTAGCTGATCCTTCGCTACCAAATGAATGAGAGAAAGTTAGATCAGGATTTAAGACTTGTATATGATGATTACCACTATCAGCAATATAAACCTGTCCTGTTATAGGAGAAATGGCTATACCATCAGGATACTTGAATTGTAGTGGTCCACGCAGGCCCTTAGAAATTTTACCAACTGATGCTTTACGGTATCCATCCATGCTTATCTTCTGGATCCTGTGATCATCAGAAACGAGGGCAAATTTGTCTGGAGTAATGGCTACACTACGAGGATTAAAAAATGTGAAGTTACCACTTTCTCCTTTCCCTCCCAATGATTTCACTTTCTTTCCTTCTCTATCCAGTATTGTTACACAGTCACCACTACCTTCAGTTATTATAACATCATTATTATCAATAACAGCAACTCCATAGGGACACTCAAGCTCAGTTATAGTACATACTGGAGTGATGTTATCAAGGTAAGGATTGAAAGAGATGACTAGTGAGGTATCCTCAAGGTGTACATCATATACTTGTACTTTTAACGTATGAGTACCACGTGTTGAAGGGTTACACTGTATCCTATACACTCCAGAATCAGTGCTGGTGGTAGTGACTGTAGTGCGAATGGGTTCATGGCCTTTACCAACTGGTACTATACTACACCTTAGAGAAGAGAGGGGAACACACAAAAGAGATGAATCTGGTGCCTCCATTGATAGTGAAAATGAAACTGCTTTGCCAGAAGGTGTAATATGATCAATCATCTTCACTCTACACTGCTGTAGTGCAGTAGATGAGTAGGTCACAATATCTCCAATGTGATGTAGCGATTTGATATCTTTACTCAATACAAAGTTGGCTTTTTCCTTTTGATGTAACTCCTTCACATTGATCCCTGCAGTAACTTCACTCATATGCTCCATCATCTGTTTCTTAGACTTCAGGACTTCTTGAGGACTGCCTGTCTTAAGACTCTGTTCCACATAATCCTGGACATCATCCAGAAGACTCAAACTCAGTTCTGCTGATTTCATCTGCTCTGACAGCACCTTTAGTTTAGCATCAGTGACCCTCTTTACCTGCTCAGTCAGTTTCCTCTTTGACTGATGAAGAACAGAAATCATTTCCTCTACCATTTCATGTATTTCTTCTAAGACTCCTTCTCCTCTCTCTCTGATCTCACTCTCTCTCTTTGCTAGAGCAGACAGGACCTTCTTGAGTGCTTTCTTTATTCCCTCAACTGGTGATAGACATTCTCTTAACTTTTGACAGTGTTTAGTATAACTGTCAGTGACTAAGTCATATTTATGATGTTTGTGATTACGAAATTGACAGGTAACACAGATTACTGTATCACACGTTTCACAGAATAGCTCCAAAGGCTTTCCATGATCACTACATGTGGCCTCTTGAGGATTTGATAAATCTGCTGTCTTCTTTGTTAGACTGTACATCTCTTTGAGATCGCTGAGGTGGAATGCTACAGGAAAGGCTCCTGCTCCTTCTTCTGGTACCTCTGTACGATGACGACAAGTGGGACAAGAGAGGTAATAGGTCTCATTCTTATTATCCAAAGGTAATCCCTCCAGACAGTACTGACAGAACGAGTGGTGGCAGGGTAAGATCTTAGGGTTGGTATAGTGGTCAAGACATACAGGACAGGTGAGCTGTTCCTCCAGTTTGAGTCTGAGACCAGAAGATGGTTTGGCTGCCATTTCAAGAAAAGAATAAAATTGTGTATGTAAAGCAAGAAAAAAAATGAAGAGAGAAAAAGTTAGAAGATGGTAAATGAAAATAGAGCAAGAATGAACAATAAAAAATGAAGAACTTGGAATGAACAACAATGTAAAACAATAGAAGAAAGGAGCAACAGACAGAAAGACAGCCCTGATGATCTCTTGGAGTATATAGTAGTTTTGGCCCTTTTGGGACGAAAGAAAGTTATGATAGCTGCAATAATCCTGGGAGCAACCAAACCTTTACTCAAGATGAACAGTAAAAGGTAACCTTTACAGGTGCATGTTGAATTATTGATGTACACACAAAAAATTAAATACATAAATGTAAATGTACAGTACATGTATCAGAAAACTGAACAAAAACAAGTTTCATAGTTGTACATGTACAATACATGTAGTTACTTTCAGGAGTTACAACTTACTTTTTTTTGCAATACTCAAACTTTTTTTTCAGATAAAAACACAAAAAATATGTAGTAATAAGTACATGCACAACAAATAATAATAAGTAATGCACGTATATACAAGAAGGGAGGAACATAGAAAGATGGAGTTAATGAGACACATTATCACTTACAGAGTAATTGTAAGACACAGTCTTCCTTAGGTAGACTAAGAGTTTTGATCCACTATTACTCAACCTATGAAGAATAATAAATAAATATAATAAAATCATAATAATTACCCATAGAATTCCATTATAGTAATACACTTAAATAAAAACAGTCTTCCAACAGGATACAGTGTACAGTGTACTACAGCACAACCTCCAGTGGACCTCCTGTACTGAACAAGTTCTTAAGAGAAGGAAAGAGAGAGAGAGGATCACACACAAAATATTAACATTAACCATAGCCAATAGATACTATAGTCCTGAAGCTGCCAACAAATACATATAGATTCATCATTGCAAAGAATGAAGACTAGTATTACCATCTATCTGATAATTTCCCCATCATGATTTAAATTTTTCTAAATTAAAAATGCACAGAAGTTAGATCACACATACATGTACATTCAATGCTGTACAACAAATTCTTATTATTATGTAAAATTAAATCACGCACAATTTCTAAAGCATAAATTTCCAGATAATAATTGCAAAAAAAT